TTCATACCAGGAACCTTAGGACTGACATGGACATTTAAAGCAAAAAACAAAAACAAAAAAAAATGGCCCTTTCCCCAACTCACCAACCAGACTCTTCAAGCCTGGTAAAGATTTTTGGAGGGACCCCTACACAGAAAGCCTGTATATGTGTTTTTTTATGTTGGATAGGGTTTTTTCTGTTATGTACAAAATAAAAGCATTTGGCATTTGTAATAATAATATATAAAAAATAATTAGTCGAGTATGAGGCTGTATATTTTTTTTGTTATGTTTTCTTTGCCTGCTGGAATAGAGACCTAAATTTTCCATGGTTTATAGGTATTTGTTTATTTATTTATTTATTTTGTGCATATATACATGAGAACTGTGAGATTGAAATATTTTACATAAAATAAAAATCTCCAGCATTTTTGGATGCTTTTCAGCTTGAGGGAGCTGATAAAAAAAGTAAAGTATTACAAGGGGGCCTAAGGTGTAATATAATAACCAAATGTTTCCTATGTTTATTTGCAAATTTGAAAGACAATTTGGCGGATTTAGTTCTTGCAATACGAGATTGCCGATTTAAAATTGCTAAGAAGTTCCCTTCTAGTATTGGATAATTCAACCAAAGTATAGGACTATAAATCTTTTTTGTGGGTGAATTCAAGTGACATTATTCTGTCTAGTAAAAATCCAATCCACAAAGTCCTGTCTTTTTTTATTATAAAAACATGCTTGATGAATAGGCCCCTGAGAACACATTTTAATGCTTCCCATTGAGTAAGGGGATGTTTAGTATAATTTTTACAGACTGCAAGGAAATCTTGAATGGTATGAGAAATAGCAGCCAAACAAATTGGGTCAGAGAGCAGGCTATAATTTATTCTCCAAGAAAAAGAGCCAACATTCCCAGAGCAGAATCCTAGGGTGAGGCGGATTGAGGTGTGATCCTAGCATATTTATAAACCTACCGTTAATGAGAAGAGGGGTATATATCTAGTAAGTTTTGGGAGATTAGGAAAAATTCCAACCTGTCCAAAGATGTATGGGCAAAAGAGAAATAGATATAGTTCCTATCTGTAGGGTGTAACACTCATCAGACATCTTGTAATTGTAGACGCTGTAAGGAGTGTTTGATTTTGGTTAAAGATGCATGGAGAAGAGATAGCTTACCCAGTAAAGAGTCTAGGTGCAGCACAAGGGAGATTGAGTAGGTCAGGTTATGATGTTTAAACTTTTCCAGGTAGGAGTTGAGAGAAGCAAGGAATTGCACCTGAGCTATTGTGTAAGCACTATCCACCACTTTAATTTTTAGAAATATATCTACTCCAAGGATCAAGAAGATCCTGAAGAAATTCTCATTGAAATTTCTTATCAAAGGCCATAGAGAACCCTTTTTGCGTTGCCAGGGGATTGGGGCTGTGGGGCTAGGTGCTGTAGTATCCATTTTTAAAATTTAGATATCCTGTTTTTACAGTATTTGAAAATTTTAAATTTTATTTTTTAAGAATAACATATTAGTTTTGCATGTACATGTACACTGCATCTTTTGACATTTGGAGTGGCTTATGAAAGGTTCAGTTTATCCATACTGATCATCAGAAGGTATTGTACTCAATACATGAGGAGGGAGGAGACTGAACATGGCGCTGATAGTAGCGTGAGCTCCAGGCGCTCACAAGCTATGTGTACAGCCCTGCCCTAAACTGCCCTGCTGTCTGCCTGGAGCTTTGCCTTACCTGAGCCTGGGTGAGGAGCGGAGCCTGAGTGTCCTGTGGTGGTCCCGGTGGTGGCCAGAGGAGGTGTCGGCAGAGTCTAGACCTGTGTACCTGGGAGAGACGGTGGGTTGGTGAGGCTCGGTGGATTCCTGGGAGCAAGAGGTGGCAGTATCAGAGGAGAAGGGGACAATGAGAGTGTCCCTGTGACCACGCATGTGACTGCCCATGTGACTTCCCAGGTTACAGCCCATGTGATGTCTGGTGGCAAATTTGAAAGTTACAAGCTGTCCTAAAATTCAGGAATGGCTTCATGGCTGAAGAGCAGGCTGTATATTAAAGGTGATTTATGCTGGAGTGATACAGCAACCCTGAGAGACCCTGAGATACTCTAGAAGTCTATTATACAGCAACCACTCATTAATTCTTCTGATCTCACTCGGAGGCAATGGCTGGGACTGAGTGTGCTCTGGGTTGGAGAGATCCTGATTTGCTGGCATGAAAGGTGGTGGTGAGTCGCTGTGAGTAACTGTGGGACATTTTATATTGTGTTACATCTGATGTTATTGCTGCAGTCTAAACGCACTCTAGAGTATTAAAGGGGATGGAGGACTATACTTGCGGGGGTTCTCAGTGGTCCTTATTGGTTGGCAGAACTGGCTAGATTACTCCTGCTCCCAAAGTGACAAATAGGGGAAACTGAAGTCATCAGAAGGAAAAGTTTTCCCTGGGATCGGATAATACATCAGTGGAGCATCAGTAGCAAATTTAGTGGCAAAGTTTAAAGAGATGAAGAACTGATCAGCTAAAGGAGGGGTGGTAAAAACCCCTCAAGCAAGTGCAAATACTAGCACAATAAGGAAATATCTACCCTTGCAGGAAAAACCCCAAAAATTTAACCCTTGATAAACAACAGGTGAGAACTAGAAAAGGGGTGGGAGATCCCCCAAGAATGTCACTCGGGACACAAGATGTGGACCAGACCAATGACCTGATAGATGTGGATAGTATAACAGATCAAAGTGTTTCAGAACAACATGGTGTTATGTTACAAATACCTACAAAAGCTGACATGGCGGAAATGTTCATGAAATTGGAGATGTCTAGAAAAATGAAATGGTGGCAATACGTAATGATCTGGGCTGAATGCTGACACGATTGGAAGAAGTAGAGGAAAAAATTAAAATGCAGGTGCTTTTGATCACTAAATTAGAAACACAGGTTGAAGAGATGCAAAGAGAACATAAAAAGCTTGCATTCAAATTGGTAGATCAAGAGAACAAAGAAAGATTTGGGAGATAAAATAAAGGAAATGCTTAACCCATTGATGGGTAGATCCACAATGGAGCATTTAAAAATGGAGAGAGTACACAGGATAAGGCGACCGCAAGGAGTGCCAACAGACTTGCCTAGAGATGTGATTGCTCATTTCCATCACAATGAGGATAGAGAAAAAATATGGAAAAAGAGAGATCCCTGAAATAAAATATGGAGAGATAAAGTTGCAAATATTTGCTGACATTTCATCTGAGATGCTAGCTAGGAGAAGGTCCCTGAAACCGTTGCTGGAGCAAATGAGGGAGAAAACAATTCAATATAACTGGGGTTTCCCGGCCTGCCTGATTGGGTGGAAAGACAGGAAATCGGCAAGATTGAGACTCCCAGAAGAACTGAGTGACTTCTGTAGAAAATTAGATTTACAGGAAATGGACATTGCTGGGGTGGTCAGGGGGGTCTACTGAGGGTTGTGGGCCTGGAAGTCTACTGAGGGTTCTGGGCCTGGAAAAGAAATGTGGCAGATGTAAATAAAAAGGGAGGGTAAACGAGTGTGGGGTGGGGGGGGGGGATGAGGGAGGAGAGGGGGTTTACCCTCCTGTGGGTTTTTTTTTGTTTTTTTCTTCACCCCCTCCTCCCCCAACTCTTTTTCCCCCTGCCAGAGTTGCAGATCTCATGTATGGAGAAATCAGGAGGGTTGAATGGGCAGTAGGAACCAGGCAGATGATGAGAAGGTGGGGGCGGGCCATCTGGAGGCTGAATGCGCTGACAAACTCTAGATCCCCTATGTTGCGAGATGGGGAGTGGAGTGGGCATGCGTGTTTAGAGCCCCACCCCAATATAGGAATCACCAGTGGGAAGGTCCCCCGACAGATTCAAGGGCAAAACTTTGGCCCAAGGGTTCGGGGGGGGGGGGAGTTTTGAGAGGGGGGGGTGTATCTGCTAGCAATTACTCCCTTGCTACAAATAGGGGTGGGGGGGGAGAGGGAGGAAGAGATGGAGAATTATACAGGAGAACGCTCCTTGCCCTTTTCAAAAGTTGATGGTACCCTGGGTTGGAGGACGAAAGAGAGTAAGAGAAGAAAAAAAAATAATATATACACCAGAGAGATGGAGGAGGTCAATTGTATGACTTATAATGTTAATGGACTGAATATACTGGGAAAAAGGCATAAGATCCTTAGAGAATTACAACAATGATCTATGGGAGTAGCATTTTTACAAGAAACACATTTATTACAGGAAACAAATGTAAAATTATATTCTAGATATTACCCAACCTGGTATTATGCTGATTCACCTACCAAGTGGGCTAAAGGAGTGGCAATTGGTATAGCTAAGAATTTAAAATTTAAGCTGGAGGAGAGGCTGGAGGATCCTGAGAGGCAGTTTTTGTTTCTGAAGGGGAGATTACAAAAAGATTCAGTGCACATTGGCAAATATTTACTGCCCCAACAGAAATCCGGAGGCATACCTCAAGAATATACTGAGAAGACTGTTGAATTTTAAAATGGGCAAATTGATAGTGGCAGGGGATTTAAACTTCTGCATAGATCCACAGGTTGATACAGCGTTATGTGTGCAGAGAGAGGAAGGTAGAAGTTGGAAGGCAATACGAAGAATGCTATATCAGTGTCAATTAGTAGATATCTGGAGGATTAATCATCCTAGAGACAGAAACTATACATTCTACTCTCCAGCCCACGAGAAGTATGACAGCTGACAGCTCGAGAGGAGAGCTGGAAATCGGCATCCCTCAGAGGGGACATGTACACTGATCATCAGGGCACTAATGATCAGTGTGCCTTGATGATCTGTGTAGCCCCAGCAGTGCCAGCTGTCAGTGCCAGCTGTCAGTGCTCACCCATGCCACCTGCCAGTGCCCATCAGTGCCACATCAATGTCACATTTCAGTGCCTACCAGTGTACATCAATGCCACATATTAGTGCCCATCTGAGCTGCCTTTCAGTGTCACCCATCAGTGCCAGTCAGTGCCGCCTATCAATGTCAGTCAGTGCCACCTATCAGTGCTGCCAATCAGTGCCACCTATCAGTGCCTGTCAGTGCCGCCTATCAGTGCCAGTCAGTGCTGCTAATCAGTGTGCATCAGTGCCGCCTATCAGTGACTGTCAGTGCTGCCTATCAGTGTCATCTAACAGTGCCAGTCAGTGCCACCTAACAGTGCCAGTCAGTGCTGCCTATCAGTGCCAGTTAGTGCCGTCTATCAGTGCCACCTATCAGTGCCGCCTATCAGTGCCATATATGAGTGCTGACTTTCAGTGCGCATCGGTGATGCCTGTCAATGTCAACTACCAGTGCCTCCTCATCAGTGCCACCTATCAGTGGCCATGAGTGCAGCCTATCAGTGCCCATCACTGCAGCCTCATTAGCACACATCAGTGAAGGATAAAAATCACTTATTTACAAAATTTTTATAACAAAAACTAAGAAAAAACTTTTTTTTTTTCAAAATTTTCAGTGGGTTTTGGTTTGTTTAAGAAAAAAATACCCCAGAGGTGATTAAATACCACCAAAATAAAGCTCTATCTGTCACAAAAAAATTATAAAAATTTCATATGGGTACAGTGTTGCATGACCGCGCAATTGTCATTCAAAGTGCAACAGCGCCGAAAGCTGGAAACTGGCCTGGCCAGGAAGGGGGTATAAGTGCCCTGTAGGCTAGTGGTTAAAAACTGTGGCGATATCTTTGGTTAAAACATTTTGTTAGTTCACTTCCTAAGCCCTTAAGACCAATGACGGATTAAAACCCACTAGAACAACTTTTTAATACAAATAAAATATGGAAATGGTACTTCCCAGATTTATAAAACTCTTACTGAACTGGTTTGGGTTGCCCCTCCTGCGTACATGGAGAAATGGGAAAAGGAATTAGGAATAACATTTGAAGAGCAACAAAAAAAGAAAATGTTTAGACTAGCACATGGAGCAGTACATATGAGGGTGGTGGAAATGAATTATAAGTGCTTGGCAAGGTGGTATATTACTCCAAGTGTGGCACACAAACAACATATAGAGAAATCACCTTTATGATGGAGAGGATGTGGGATAAAAGGCACAATGGCACATATATGGTGGGAGTGCCCCAAAATTCAAGAGTATTGGAAAGAAATAATGTATTTAATTCAGGAGAAAGGCAAAGATAAGGGTGCAAAAGAAGGAACTGAAAAAGAAAAGAAAAAAATAAACATTTGCAAATAATGTATGTATTGCAGTGGGATAACCTCATACTGTAAATAGCTCCACAATCACTGTAGAAAAACTATTAGGCCTGATATAATGTTCAAAAATATGCTGGCAGTGTCAGACTCTCATTACTTTCAGTGGAGATTGGCACGCTCAGGTAATAGCAGTAATTGAAAATGGTCCCATTCACAAGTGTGCTGGGGGGTTTGACAACTACCAGTTAAATTAAAAGGTATCCATAGGGCACAGAAGCCCCTATATGGGTAAACATGAGAGTCGCCAACTGTGGCTTCTATATGTAGGCTGTGAGATAAACAATATTGGTATAAATTAACTGCTTGCACGCCGTCCTATTGCAGAATTACTGCTACAGGGTGGCAGGGCTGCTCAATATCACGTATATATACTTGAGTTTGCATTTCTGGGTAGGGGAGTAGAATGCGCCCTATCCACACCGCCGTCAGCTGTCGATCACCAGGTCCTGGCTTGTGATTCTCCTCTGGCACCCGGCGATTGCCGAGTATCACTGACAAGGGAGAGTTCTGTATATAAACAATGCAGATCTCTCCCCTGTCAGCTCCTGCACACTGCTTTGTATGGCTCTGTATAGCAGAGCCATACAAAGCAGCGTGCTTACACAGTAAAACACACACAGCACACAGTTAACCCTTTGATCACCCCAGATATTAATCCCTTCCTGCCCAGCGTCATTAGTATAGTGTCAGTGCTTTTTATTAGCACTGATCACTGTGTTAGTGTCACTGCAGATGTCAGTGACAGTTAGTCAATTCCCACCAGTGTCAGAATGCCCATCGCAATCCCACTATAAATCGCTGATCGCCTCCATTACTGATATTAAAAAAACAAATTCCAGTATATATACCGCCATTTGTAGACGCTATAACTTTCAGGTAAATCAATTAATTTACACGTATTGGGATTTTGGGTTTTTGTTTAGCAAAGACATGTAGCAGAATACATTTTGGCCTAAATGTATGCCAAAATAGATTTTTTTAATTTTTTACTAGACATGTTTAATAGCAAAAAGTCAAAAATATTGTTTTTTTTTTTTTTATACCGCAAAAAATATCAAATACCACTGAAAGAAAGCTCCATTTGTGGGAAAAAACAATTAATAATACATTTTATTTGGGTGCATGACCACACAATTGTCAGGTAAAGTAACGCAGCGCCGTATCACAAAAAATGGCCTGGTCAGGAAGGGGGGTATATCCTCTGAACGAAGAGTGGTTAACTAACAGACTAAAAGGGAGCATTAACAAATGAACCTGGGTATTCAAAAGCAGGTACAATAGAGAGATTTCATATCCAAGGGGCATGGAATACAAAGGTAGAAAATCTGTATTACAAAGGAAAAGGAAAATGAAGATTTCTAAGAGAGTAAATAATAGTTACAAAACCTAGGCCTTGTAGGAGGTTGTGAACATTGGGAATGTGCAGAGGCAAACAGTTCTACCAAAGGAATCAAAGCCATCCACAACACTGTCCCTAGCTACATCCCCAACCCCATCCACAGATACCGCTCAAATCGCCCACTCCGCTCCTTCCATGATATCCTCCTCTCTAGCTCCCTCATCACCTCCTCCCACACTCACCTCCAGGACTTCTCCAGAGCCTCTCCCATCCTCTAAAACTCCCTACCACAGCATGTTCGGTCAGCCCCCACCCTGTCTGCCTTTAGGCAATCTTTGAAAACTCACTTCTTCAGGGAAGCCTAACCCACCTCCACCTAAGAACTGTACTTGAATCACCTCCGCCAGATCATCCCCCGCAGTTATCACCTTTTGTATCACCTCCCCCTTCCTTTAGATTGTAAGCTCCATAAGCAGGGCCCTCCTATTCCTTCTGTACTGAAATGTATTGTAATTGTATTGTCTCCCTTATATTGTAAAGCGCTGCGCAAACTGTTGGTGCTATATAAATCCTGTATAATAATAATAATAATAATAAGTACACTTTCAGAATGCAGCATCACAACATCTCTAAATGAGGAGCACATTAGGTAGGGGGACTTTTGAGATTTTGATTATGATCTATTTTTTTTCTGTCACCTCTGCCAGGCAGGTTGTATAACAAAATCAGGAACTAAAGATTTCAATGCTGTCAGGTAGCTGTATAAGGGGTAATTCAAAGCAGCAGAGACAAGGTCCTTTGTTTCAATAAACTCTGGGAGACCCCTCAAATGATTATTGTTTCACCTATTTCTGTTTTTGGTGTCATCTTGTTGGAACATCAATCAGAGTAGTGTGCTCATTTAAGGCAACTTCATGGGCTTTCGATTTGATTCTTTACTCCTGAGATGTGTTGTTCTATATCCCCTATCCTTGCCCATATGTCATTCCTAAGTTCAGTCATTTCTTGCTTGCATGTGGCATCTGATATTTGTACACATTACTTAATGTTCTTCCTTGTAGGCATAGCTTTAATGTATGCCTCCATGTACTATAAAGACAACCCTCAATACATAACCCCTCAGTACACACACTTTTGCTGTGTTGATGATGCACTGGTCAAAAAGGTCCTGCTGTCAGTCCTGCATAGAAAGGGTATACCTTCTTCCCCATTTTACAGTTGAGACAGTGCACACAGATGGGACAGCAGTGCAGATTTCTAACTCTTCCAGCCCCCTAGAAGGATCAACCACAAGCGGAGATCTGTCTGGGTGATGGATCAGCCCGAAGCATGCAACCTGAAGTGTGCGCTGAAACAGTGTAGAAGTGCTGTAGGACTTTCACATCAAAGATAAAAAAAAAGCATACTATTTTTGGAACACAGTGCTCTGCAAAGTATGGCAGCATGCTTCAATTCAGTTAACTATGGACCGGGGGCGGACTGACAACTCATGGGGCCCCCGGGCAATAGGGGATCATGGGGCCCCTGTGTCCTTGCCCAAACTCCAAAAAGCCTATGAAAAAGGTACCAGGGGCATCTCATGGGGCCCCCTACTGACCCGGGCCCTCGGGCAGTGCCCGGGTTTCCAAATGGTCAGTCCGCCCCTGCTATGGACACTCCAAGTGCAGACCTAACAGGTCCCCCATGACACCTCCACTGTAACAGATGCCCAGTAACCCCCAGTAAAAAACCCCTCTTAACAGACATCCCGGTACAAAACCCCCCAAATTATAAACTCCCCTCAATAACGACATCCAAGTGCAGACCCCCCTCAGTAAGGACTAGAAATACTGAACGAACCCTTTGCCCACTGCTATGCAACCTTTCTAGCAAACTTTACACAACAGGGATTTTTAATTCAGCTGGCCAACTACATCAAAGTAATCCCTGTCTAGCAAATCCCTACTCTACTCTGAAAAATGCAAATGCTCTAGTGGATATAGTGCCAATATAGAGCAGATCGCAGAAGCTGTAGAAGAGCTACAGGTGCAGGTCTGGTTACTGACCTGGACTATGCAATACAGACCCACATTGTACAGATTCTTCCCAATCACAGAGCCCCTCCATTAGTACAGACCCCCAGTAACTACCAGTACAAACACCCCTCAGCACAGACACCCCAGTACACCTAAAACGCACGGCACAGATATGAACCATGTACTGTAAGGGCATTAATTACAAACTGGATTGTTGTTATATATGTCCTCACATTACCTAGTTTTGGTAAATTAAAAGAAGATTGTACAATTAAATTGTAACATGTGGTGACACTAAAGCTGACCAATTTGATTGTACAATCTCCTTTAGCTATATCATCATCTATGTAGTGCAAGAGCCTGCCGGATTGGATACTAATTGAATGGGTTGTTTAGATATGTCTCTATATATCATAGCTTTGATAAATCTTGAGGAATATGTACAGAGATTTACAATCTAATTGTATAGTGTTTTGCCACCTTAAAAGGGAACTTCGCCCTAAAAGGGAATTTTCAATTTAACACCTTCTTCCTTCCTTTTCTCCCACTTTTGGTGGTTTGTTTTTTTTTTGGGGGAGCATGCACCTAGTTTAACAGGTACCCGATCCCACTTCAACTCTAATCGCCAAGGCCAGGGGTCTCCAAACTTTCTAAACAAAGGGCCAGTTTACTGTCCTTTCGGCTTTAGGAGGGCCGGACTGTGGCCAGTGTGAAAAGAAAATTATCTGGCATCATTGGGAATAAACAATGCCCCATCATTTTTTTTAGTTGGAGGAATAGTGCCTCATTGTTGTTATGAGTGGGAGGAATAATGGCCCATTGATGGTGTCAGTGGAAGGAATGGT